TAAACAGTGGAGTTGGTAGGAACAAAGATATTTGAGGGAAAGTATATGAAGATCCCAAGGGTGGACAAGAGAAACAGTGCTCTTTAGAAAATCAGCTTTCACCCAGCTTAAATAGGATTCTTAATGTATTATACAGTCAAACCTTGGTTCCCGAATGGCTTAGTTGCCAAACAAATCGGCTCCTGAACGCCGCAAATCTGGAAGTAAGTGTTCTGGTTTACAAATGTTTTTCGGAAACTAAACATCCGACGCAGCTTCTGCTTGAGCGCAGGAAGCTCCTGCAGCCAATTGGAAGCCATCTCTTGGTTTTCGAATGGTTTTGGGAGTTGAATGGACTCCCAGAACGTATTAAGTTTGAGAACCAAGGTACCACTGTATATAAAAACGTATTCTAATGCACCAGCATTATAACACTATACAATTCCAACAGTATTTGCGAAAGGACAACCACATGGTAACGGCCGACAAATGTTTACTTTTAAACTTCTTTTGTAAATGAAGTTTACAAAAGATAATAATGGCAGTGAAGGGTTTCATTTTAAATTCATTTGTAAACGTTTTCTGGGGAAGGCTACAAAAAAAGCATCCTCAGAACACTCCAGAGCTGGGAGGGGTGGTGGGGGTGGGTCAAAAAATAAATGTCAAAGCATAGCCCTATCAGGTATTGAATTTCTTAGCTCTCCTTTACCGGCTTACAACACACATAGCTTACAGAATCGATAGGATCAAAACGTTTTAAGAACTAGCGTTTTAAAACAGGTTTATGTGGATATTATGATTGCTCCTCCCTCTATTCCCCTCAAGGACTCCAGCACCATTTAACAGCTGTGCGACAGGCAGAAGTTCAACAAGTGAAGTTCTTCCTATTACTGGATCTGCATGGCAGGAAATTTGAACCCTTTTGCTTAAAGATACAGAATTCCTGCCAAGGAAAAAAATGTTGGGCAGGAAAGAAAAACCCCGTGACCTATAGCCGGGTGTTAAGGGGAGTAGCAAGCAGCAAATTTTCCCTTCAAAAGGGGAAACTTTTAGACCTCAAACGTCTACCTACTTTATCAGCAACGACTACCGATAGTTTGCAAGAGAACAAAAAAGAAGCACCTGGCAGGAGAGGACTCTGAATACAGCGACGCTATTTGAAACCTCCAAGTCCGCAGCCATCCACTAATAGGCTGAAGAGCCTATTAAATTTTGCTTTTGCAAAATGGGTTGGGGGAGCAGAGGAAGCACAAGGGCAAAGTCAACGGGCAAAGATCGCAACGCTTACCATGGAGAGAAGAAAGAAGATGCAACCTCCAAGCGGGTTGTCTCAAAAATTAGCACCATAGGGCTGCCTGCGACGCCTCTCTCCCCAGCAATTTAAAGGGCCAGCAGCATTAAGCAAAATACACAGAGAGAGCGCGGAAAATGAGTTTCTCTAGCCTACGGCTACGAGAAGCGCCGGCTCCTTTCGAAGGAGGCGATTTGTCCGACCATTGACGCTTTGGCCAAGCTGCCCTGTGCTGTGGAGATGTTTACACTGGAAGGTTTTTGCGAGGGGATTCTAAAAGTTGCATTTACTGAGTGTGCAATATTTTTTATTATTTAGGACAAAAATAAGATCCAGGATGGCTGGGATTTCACCCCTCCCCTTGAATAAAAGGTTTGTTTTTCAAAGGGGGTGGGGTTAAGACCCAACCATATGTACAAACGAATATCATCTTTCTCTCACTCTTATATACTCTTATATACATTGAAATATGGTGTTGTCGAGGCATTTTCACGAGCGGAGTATTCTCTCAAGTCTGGCGATACCTCCCTCACATGGGCGCAGCCAGGATTTTTGTTAGGAGGGGCAGACTTTTGTGGGGGGGGGGCAGAACCTCTGATTTGTATTGATTTTGATGCAAAATCCCCCTGCCCCCGCCCATGCTCCCTCATGTGTAGATGGTCACTATTAGTAATATATAAGTGGGACAAAACACTGCAGAGTAGTGGTTCTATTTCATTTATATTCAATTTTAATCTCCCCCCCCCCTCCACTTTCAAGAGACAGTCAGCATTCTGTGGCTACTGAAGAGGCTCAGTCCTCACTGGCTTGGTTTTTGGGGTGAGGCGGAGAGAAGTTGCGCCCTTCGTTTTGTTTTACTAGATTTTTGTACTTTTGCACACCTAGGTTCCCGCCCCCCCCCGCCTCTTCATATCTCTTGTGCTACATAAGCAAGAGCAGAACCCCCCACCCACCCACCCGCCGGAGACTGAAATGATATCCTTTATTTAGCGTGTATTTGCCATAAAATAATAGCTCACCTTTCTGACCAAGGAGACACACTATACAGCATTACAGCACAATAAAACCACAACAAAAGACAAAACCAATAAAATAATTCGGCTAGTTCAACCTATGCTATATATACAGTATTTTACTGCGTGGTATATCAGCCACAGCATTGCATTTGAGTTCCATGTGCTTCAAAACAGAGCCACCTACAGGAACGTAATATGTTAACAAGCTTTTTTTAAATGTAAAAAAAATTGTTTGTTTCACCGCTGCAATCTCCGAGTGATGCGAGGTTCCAGTGGTTTCCTTGTTTTTTCTAATATTTTTTTTCTAATATTTATTATTTATTTATTTATTTTAATTTTACAATGTATGTCAAACAGAGAGAACAATTATAACTGACACAAATTAAAAGATGAAAAACACAACTATAAAGGCTGGCCCTGCTAAACAACCCAGAAGAGCCCACTGGGAGCTCCAAAGTTATTACAATAGGGTTGCTGAGAACCCAGCAGCTCTCTCTAGTGGCCATGGATGCTTGAAGCAAGTATCTCACACCCTCCCAATCTCAGCCTCTGCTTTTTGTAACAAGCATGGATATAATATCTCGCTGCTCCATTCTGTGCTGGCAGCAGACCCCTTCGTATAGACAATGTTTCTACCCTTCGTTCTCCCCATCCCTGGGGAGCAAGAACTTGCGGGGTTCTTCTGCCTCGACTTTGAAATCTGTTCCTACAAAGCTAGAGCTCCACTTGTGAATTTGTAGGATGCATAGAAGCCCACTGCTAGGGACTGTGGGGGCTTCAGCCCTCACAATAAAATATTTGAGGAGGCCAGGCCACCACAAAGTTGATGGGCGTTCCCATTCAAATGGTGTGTGCACACTGCGTCATACGATCAATTATGAGGGGCGGGGCTTACCTGGGCCTCCACAATATTTTATTCAAGTTGGCACCCCTAGTAGAACGGAAGGGCATCTGCACATGTGCAGCAGGGTATATTGTCACGATCAAGAAATGACAGTTATTAGAATAATAGAATCTCAGCTAAAGCATACATGACAGATGGCCACCCAACCTCTGCTTAAAAACCTCCAAGGAAGGAGAGCCATAAGGGATAGATGAGTCTTGCCAAAAGGCACGTACAGTTACTAGGCCGAGCGCAGAAGATTGTCCACCTGTGCCCAGTCCAAATCGTATGCCCATAGCAACCCTGGCCTTACTATATGCTGTGGAATACAACTCCTATCAGCCCTGACCACTGACCACACTAGCTAGGGATAATGGGGTATGGAAACCACCAGGTCTGAGAAGGCTGCTTTAAATTGTTTGTTTGTTTAGATCATCAGCTGGTACATGGATGAAAGCAATTATATTTAATGGTGGTAATCTGCCCTGTTGCCATGACAATAGATCCCTTCTATGCTAGCATGAGTCTTATTGAATCAAATCTAAAATATTGAACACATAGTTGCTTAGATCTCCGTCTCATGTTATTGAGAATGCAGGAAACAAAGCAGAGAAGATGAAAAATACATTGCAATGGCTTTTGTAGCTTTCTCTGTTTAATAAAGATCAGGTAAGAAGAAGTATGTACAACAGGTCTCCTCTCCTTTCGCTATTTTCCAGCCCTCCTGCCTTCTGCTTGGGCCTGACCTCTTACACTAGATATGCAAAGCCAGATTTCTAGACAAAGATGTGCTGGAACTCACCATGAATGTCTCCCTTGTTCTCTTATAATGGCAATGGTGCCCACCTGAGAGGTGCCAGAACTGAGTTCTGGTGAGTTCTGGCTGAAAACAAGCCCTGTAACGCAATCTTATAGATATCGTCACATGTGCCTTTTCAGCTTCTGTTGGTAAAAGTAGGCTGAAAAGTTTTAGGATGACAGTGCAGGTAAACCACCAAACTCAATTACCTGCACATAAGTTAAATCTGCTGAATTTCTCACCCTTGTTATCAACAATACAAGAAACAACTCATCAAATGAGATAACCAGTCTCTGAGCACAGAGAAGGGCAGAAAAACATACCGTATTTTTCCATCTACAAGATGCCCCCATGTATAGGACGTCCCCTATTTTGGGGGATTCAGATTTAAGAAGATGGAGGGAGATGTATCCATGTATATGAGGCCCCCTAATTTTTGACAATATTTTTAAGGAAAAAAACCTAGTCTTTTTCACTACAGATATTACATTGCTAGGAGCATGGGACATTGCTAGGGGCAAGAGATCTGTGACACCCCAGATGTTGGACTACATATGCTTTTTCATTTTTACATTACATTTCCCAGGGCTAAGCCATGAAATTGAAAACAGACTCTAGGCATGGCACAGTTAAGTCCAACTATTCCCATGGGTCATGAGACTGTTTATTCTTATTCCCTGACAACACACAAGTTTGTTTGGGCAGTTTTCAAAAACCCCAGTGGCAATTAAGTTAAATGTAGTTAAATTAGTCATGGAGAATCAACAATCTGTTTTATCAGTAACTGGAAAAAAAGTTGCACAAGAGGGGTAGAATGTATTTATTAAAAATAACTGTCGTTCACTTTCCCTTCCAAACTAGAGGGGTTTACAAAATACACAAAAGCTTACCAAAAGTCACAACATATTAATATATCCAGATAATATGAATGACATTCAAAACATATTTAGTGTCATATCAGGGGAAGATTCTTCACAATTCTTGCTGAATAACTAGGGCCACAAGCAATTTTATTAGTGCTGGCTATTTTCATGGGGGATTTGTGAGGCAAAGGATCTTGGGAAGGTCATTCTAAAACCTGATCGTCAAGTGCAAATTCTGGGTTGTTTAGCCAAGGCACTTCTTAAAATTTCCTCCCTATTCAGCACCCTCTCTGCAGCTTCCCTCACAAAGATTAGAGCAGCTTCCCAATGAAATAACTGTAGGAAGACCAAAAGTGGCAGCCCTCTAGGCAGCAGACAGAGAGCTGTGATGTCAAAGCTGTGGTAACCTTAGTAAGTGTGACATTTACTGGGCAGAATGTGAATTCCTATTCTGTTGCAACACAAAGGCAGAGAGGCACATCTTTTTTCTTTTGCCCATACGTTTGGAGCCAAAGGCAAAACCAAAGAGAATACATTGTCAGCTATGATCAAGCAGAATTTGAAATCCTACAGCTGGGCAGTGCCCCGTCTTCTGATTTCTGTCTGTTTGGGTAAGTAACTGGGCTAATGAACTACCTTCATTTTTAGGAGATTGGAGCAGGGAGAGGGGATCTGTGGTTTCTTCTTATAGTTGCATGTGGCAAACTAAGGGTGCAATCCTATGCACACTTATTTGTCTGGGATGCAAGTAAGCTCCACTCAACACAATGGAACATAGCTTTGAGTAAACATCCATAGAGTCAGTCTGAGTAGGTTGTGATCTGGGCTGTATCTTATTGGTCTATAGGCTATTTTGTAAAAGGTGGTTGAAGCGTATGCATCTGTAATTATAGACAGCCTTTAGTCTTTCACATTCTGTTAAGTCTATGGTTCTATAATTTATGAAGTTTGGTTTTATAAGGTGATTTTTAAACAAAAGGGGGGTGCACGCAGTTTTCCATTAAAAAAAATATCCTCAAGGCACAGAAGTTGCTTCTGTGCTGATCTTTTTACATCTGAAGTAAACCCCCCATTTCTGCTTCTCAACAAGCTGCTATAATTATGTTGCCTTTTTACTTAAAGACAGAATGTGGGAGTTTTAGAGAAGGGGTTTAGCTGGGCAAATTTGTCCTCAGGTTTTGTATCATTAGGACTTTATGTCTCTTCTTGTTGTGATGTACTGACTGCAAACCCTAATGAGAGAGCTGCTATAAATACACTTTTTCTATGTCCTCCCTCACCCTGCAATTTGAAGAGATCTTGCGAGGTTATGCATAAACATTTGTCACAAAATCAGTTAAGGAGGACACAGTATTGTAATGTGTTTATTGCCTGGATATACAACCCCAGGCTGACCACGTCCAAAGAGAATAAGGCTCCTTTGTGTTTAATGCATGTGTAGTGGAGTTAATATTGATACTGTTATAGGTTGAGGGTGCCAAATGCCTGGGTTTAGTAAATGCTGGAAAGTAGGATAAAGTAAACAGTGGCATGAAAAAATGGAGGCTTGAGGACACAATGGCGTTGAAGGAAACAGAAACCAAGGAGAATGTACAACTGAGCCAAAGCTTTGTGTGTGACCTCAGGAGGCAATAAAAACGGTGCAATAAAAACGGTGCAGTGGGGAGGCAAAAGAGGGAGAAATAGGACTAATAGGGTTGTTGCAACTAGAAGCTGGAGGGACAATTACAGCCAGCTGTGATTTCTACTGTCTCTGAAGCATAGCAACAGCCATCCCTAAGGGCAAGTGCCAAGATGAAGTGGTGATGCTTATGGTGGTGGGCTGTGTTTCACATATTGATTTCAAGGAAGTATCCAAATTCTGTGTCTCTAGGTCCCGTCTAGAAAACAAAAAGATGTCAGGATGCCAGCAACACCCTGCCTTCCAACATTTCACAGATGCACACAGGGACACTCCTGTGTGCTTGTATTACGGGAGGACAATATAAATAAATACAAGTGAACTAGTAACCTTTTGCAATGTTAAGAGCAAGTCCTCCATGGCGACCTTCACAGTGAAGCCCAGGAAATGAGCTGGTAATTGAACCAAAGATGGGAATCTTTGGCTTCCAGCAAAGCTTGAAACACACACACTTCAGGTTTGATATTTGAAGGTTACAGATAAATCAAGCTGGTTGTACTGTTAAGAGCCAGTGTGGTGTAGTGGTTGGAGTATCGGACAAAGACCTAGGAAATCAGGATTTGAATCCCCACCAAGCCATGAGCTTATCCACACATCAATTTGCCCTGCCACTTCCCACAAGGGAAACCCAATCTTCAGTGCTAAATCGAAACAGAAAGGCAATTCTGAAATTTAAAAAAAATCTTATTATATAAATTTGTACTATGGAACTGGTGCAGTTACCAGTGCTACATAATACTTATTCTGTATTTGGGGGGGGGCTCTGTCTTTTAGTGTAGCAGCACCCAAACTTTGGCACTCCTTGCCTATTGACATTGAGCAAGTACCTTAACTGTCCTCTGTTCTGCAGCTCTGCTAAATACATTATTGTTTAGGGAAGTCTATCCAGATATGTAGCTTGTTGACATGTGTTTTAATCTAGGTTTTCACTTACTGTTTATTTTAATTTTAAAAAATGTCTTAAGTAGTTGTTTTTAACTGGGTTTTTAAATTACTGATAACCTCATTGTATTATTTTTCTAAACTGCTTTGTTGTTTTTAACAATCAATCAGTATATACATTTTATGAAATAAATTACAAAATAAAAATCCAGAATCTATAGAAGGGCTTGGCAACTGCAAATATATAAGCCCTGTGTTTTGATGTTGCTTCACTGTCTGCATATCTGGTACCAGGACAATAAAGCAACAATAACAAGAAAAACGCTGACTTTTGCCAATTTATAATATCTTAGCCTCGGTTCACCATCTGCAAAATAAGGATAATTGTGATGTACCACGTAAAATTGTTGTGAAAATAAAGTAGGGAATAAAATTATACCTAAATTATAAGGATAGTTCAAATGATCATTCTAAGGGCACTTTTTTAAAAAGTGAACCAGTTTAATTATGCTTATGCATAGGTCTTCCTTTTAACTGTGGGATGTTGAAGCTAAGATAGTTGGTCTAGGCACATGACAGTGACTCACAGGCTCAAGTTGCCATAGCAAAAACCCTTGTTGTATTTACCGAGTCTTTATTCTTCCTTTCTGTATTGTTTGGTCCAGCCTCTCTTGAAGTGCACCTGTTACTCTCTCTCCACTTGGCTTCACAGGCTACCAAAGATGGCTGGATGTCAGTGATCTCTTTCAGGGCAAAGAATTTTGTAAACAGTTGAGCCCCTCTGCTAGATATCTGTGATCTTTTAAAAGCTTTAGTCAAATGCAGTAATTATATGTTTCCATATATGAAGGAGTTATGGTGCATAAACACTTATTTCACAGACAACATGGTTTGGTTTTGCTTATCATTTTTAAAATACATGCATGTTGAGAGGGGGGGAAAACAGAGTTAAGGGGGTGCGGAGTGCTCAAACAACCCCACCTCCAATATTCAAATAATGAATGTGGGGATTGTGAGTCCATGTAGGCTAGCTGCCAATGTGCCCAGCTCTCCACACATTTGGTGTGTGTTAGAAGGGCCCCATAGCATGCACCAATGTACACAGGTATAGGTCCTATACATGAAACCAGCTATCTCAGTTGGTTAAAACGTGGTGTGGATAAAGCCAAGGTCATGGATTTGGCCACCTGCACATTCCTGCAGACCTGTTTACCTTCGGGGTCCCTTCCAACTCTACAATTCCTGGGCCAATCAAAGTCTATCTTGGAGTGAAATGAGGGACTTCTAAACCTCCATAGTAGATGGAGGGGCACCCATGGGGGCGGGAGGGGGAGTTGGGAAATCCTTTTGCACTAATGCTAATCCCTGCACTAGTACAAAAATGTATACCACTCGTATCCAGAATTATGGTTGAAACAACTGAAAATGCATCTCTTGCCAGCAGACTCACAAAGTAAATCAGTACATACCCACCCTTTTATTTATTACCTATTCTCTCTCCCTTTCTATAATCTGCTATGAAGCCAGAACTTCCAGTCCTTTGAACCCCACACAACCCAGTTCGCCCATTTACAGAACCTCGCACATCCCCTAAATAATCGCTACCTTCTGTAAGTCTCACAAAGAACATTCGTCTTTCTCTCTTCTTTTGCAGCTGTTTATGCTGGTGTTGGAAATGCAGCCGAGGAGAACAGAGCTATCTCAACCCATTCACCTGCCGCTTCCCCCACAACAGTGTTTCACACATACGGAATGAGTCTTGTGCCTCCATCTGTGTCTCAGAGTCCAAGCAGAGAGAAAGCCAAAGAGGGTGAAACGGTGACCCTTGGATGCCGGTTCCGAAGTTCCCATGGCTCATCTTTGAATAACCTAACAGTGAAATGGTACAAGGAGGATGAAAAAGGGTCGAGGGACCTAATGGAGAACAACATCACTGTTTTGGCAAACTACACTAGAGCATTCCTGACAGGGGATTTATCTGAAGGCGATGCATCTTTGACTATCTTAAATGTGACAACCAGCGATCATGGCACTTATTTCTGCCAGGTGACCCTTTCCAATGGAGATGTGGTGACAGGAGGTGGCACAAAGCTCAGGATCCGCAGGGCACTGGGTAATGTTTTGTTTTGTTCGTTTCTTTTTTAAATTAGCCCCAATCTGCACTATACACTAGGCTACCACTTTAAAAAATCATGACTGTCCTCTACTCCAGGGGTTTTCAACGTTTCCACCATCCCTCAGACCTTGTGGGGGGCCAGACTATATTGGGGGGCGGAATGAACAAAATCCTATGCCCCACAAATAACTCAGAGATGCATTTTAAATAAAAGCACACATTCTACTCATGTAAAAACACACTAATTCCCGGACTGTCCACAGGCCGGATTTAGAAGGCAATTGGGCTGGATCCAGCCCCTGGGCCTTAGTTTGACTACCCATGCTCTAGTCTCACCAGACTCCTGGGGAGTGTTGAGGGAGCTGAGAGTTGTTAAGAGACCCCTGTTCCCCCACAGAGCTACTATTATCAGGGAGGTTTAACAATGAATCACTCTTCACAAGGAGCTCTGAGAATCGTAGCTTTCTAAGGGGAATAGGGGGCCTCCTAACAACTGTCTGTATTCTTAACAAACTACAGTTCTCAGGATTCTTTGGGGGGAAGCCAAATGTCATTTGTTAAGGGTGCTGAGAGTTCCCCTCACAGAACTACAGCTTCCAGAGTTCCCTGGGAAGAAGGCTTGATTGTTAACCTGTTGTGACAATTCTAACTCTGTGAAGGGAATAGACGTCTCCTAACACTCTTGGCACTCTGAACAAACCACAGTTCCCAGGATTCATTGCAGGGAAGCCATGATTGTTAAAGTGGCATAATGGTGTTTTATACATGTAGATGCATTGATATGCACATCGTTGTGTGATTAATGTATGACCAGTGACATGCTTCTGACGTCTCTAATTATTTGAGTACAGTGGTACCTCAGGTTACAGACTCCGCTAACCCAGAAATAATACCTCGGGTTAAGAACTTTGCTTCAGGATGAGAACAGAAATTGTGCTCCAGCAGCGCGGCGGCAGCAGGAGGCCCCATTAGCTAAAGTGGTGCTTCAGGTTAAGAACAGTTTCAGGTTAAGAACGGACCTCCGGAATGAATTAAGTACTTAACCCGAGGTACCACTGTATCAACTTACATGTTTTGTTTGTTTATGTGCTCTTAATATGCCAAAACAGTTTACAACTGTGAAAACCAATCCCCAATTAAAATACACAGTAACATTAAAACACCTCTAATTAAAATTAGCAGTACAACAATTTTTAAAATTAAAACCATTAAATCCCAAGTTCAATTCAGAAGAATGTTTGCCTGAATAGATGGGACTTCAGGAGCCAGAGAAACGCCAGCACTGGTACAGCCTCTTATATTTCAGCAGAGAGGGCTTTTCACACCACTGGTGCCACGTTACCCCAGCCAATGGACAGGTTCAGTTTTGCCACAGGCCACAGTCCCTAAGTGAAGTATACATATGTGTGTGAACTAGCTTTGGCGCACACATTCTTCAGAAATTCAGGCACTGCTTTCACAGCAGAAAATATGTTAGGGAAATAACAGCAAAGGAACTTTTGTTATTTCTTCCTAGAATTTCTCTTCCAAGCTTTCTGAAAATATGGCCAAGGTGGCATTGTAATGTAGTCATAGCCTGATTAATTTCATCCATCTCACTTCATTTGACAGGTGGTAATGAGAATATGCAATCGTTATGAAGTGGCTGCTTTTCAGAAGCGGAACTCTTTGCAATGACATTCCTTACTTCAAATGAATGGCAGCAATTAAAGATTAAAAAGTACCTCCCGCTCAATTCTCCCCCCCCCCCCCAGTGTTGTGATTATATCAACCTGTTCATCAACACCCAAGCTAGACTTAATAGTGGTTTTATACTACTTTCACCACCAATGAATCCTGGGAATAGTAGCTTGGTGAAAGTACTGAGACTCTTCGGTCACATATTCTGAGCATCCTCCCCCCTCCCCCAGGAAGGCTCCATTGGGAAAGGGGATGTCTACTAAATCAGGTGCTCTGCACAAATCCTATACATTTTATATCCCTCTGTGTTCAGAGAGGAGTTGCTCTAGCAGAATATTTCAGCACCTACCTTTAACGTAGAGATGCCATAAGCTTTTGCCATGACTCAATGACACTTTCTACCTCAAGCTGATAAGCCTGACTTTTTAAGCTCTCCACCTTTTCTTCATTTGTATGTACCCCTAGTACCCTTTCTGGTACTTCCTTATCTTTTGGCATGCAATTTCTATCTAGAACCACCACCCTTTCTGTAATCATCTACTTCTCTCTCCTCTTCAAATGCTTCCTTAATTTGTCTGGTCTAACACCAGTTTAATGATGACAACAAAATCTATACAACGGTTAAGCAGGAGTCTTGAGGCTGTCCATAAACAGTTTGCACGTAGACAACGGATGAGCTAGCACACAGGTCATGTGGTCATAATTATGTCAGTGGAAAGTAGATCACTGACCCACATGAGGGTAATTAGTAAAAGGCTCAGCTGGGTTCCTAAATACAAAATCTGGGGCTTAACACACTTTGTAGCAGGAGAGAGCCCCCAGCAGCAGAGTTTAAATTCACAAAAGTCAAGCAGCAGTATAGCATGAGATATAGGCTATTAAACTCTTTTCATATCTCATTTAGTTGCATATAGCGCTCCTCATTTCTGCTCCTCTTGCAGTGAACAGGCCACATTGTTAAATAAGTTTTAAAAGACTTTACTTACAAAACTCCAACAATGGTCAGATTCATGTGTTATTCCATGCAGCAGCAAGAAGAACACAAGTAGAAATATCTTGTGTTACAAAATACAGAAAAGCTACCAAGCACATGGTGTGAGTTCCTCTTGTGGTGAGTTCATATGGCAGAAGAGACAGTGAGGAAAAGGAACCAGAGGAAGGTGGGCATGACCTAGCTGAATCCAGGAGCACAGCTCTACAACCTTAACTCAAGCACTAAATGGCACTTGTGCATAGTTATATTTGACTGCAATTTCCCACAGTAATCTCCCAGCCCCTCCCAGTGAGCTGCATTGTATTTCTATTCAAATTATTTATTTATTGAATTTATAGCCCAGGGCGGCAAACAGATATACAATTTTTTAAAAAAAGCAAAACAGGAACTTTCTAAAACAGATTAAACATATTAAAACATTCTAAGAACATCTAAATGCATTACAGTTATAGCACTTGTTTATAAATTTGCATATATACATAAACACTAACACATGACCATCTAATGCAGGTCTGCCTTCTTTTGTTCTTTGTGGTGATGTGTTTCCTCTTTTGGCTGGGGGGCAGGGGTGATACTTAAATGGCAATTCCAACCGACTCACCTCCACTCCCAGTACAAACCTTGGTAGTACTTGTGTTACCTTGCTAGGAAAACATGGGAAGGCACAGACCATACGGCCAGAACCAGGCTGGAGATCTTCTGTATGCCAGAGTTTGCTGCCAGAGAAATGTACGGTAATAGGCCTAATATTTATAAATTCTTAACAGGAATAAATGTCCTATGCTTGTTTTGCCAGTTTAATGTAGATTGTAAAGTCCCTGGAATGGGGACAGCTTACATTCTACATTATTTGTATAGAAACAGGGCTTAGTATTAGCACAATATGAATGTTAAATAGTGGTGGAGTTCGCTACTCATAAACCCACCTCAGTCACACTCTCTTCAAACTGTGTTCCAATTCACACAATTGGTTCTTGCTCTGTGTGTGTGTGTGTGTGTGTGTGTGTGTTATATATATATATATATATATATATATATATATATATATATATATATATGCTTTCGTAGATTTTCACGGGTACAGGAATGCAGGTTTTGGTGTCCTCGGGTGTCTTCCCGTGTAAAAGTTGGGGTGTCTAGGCGAAACGTCGACCTCGTCGAAACGTCGCCTAGACACCCCAACTTTTACACGGGAAGACACCCGAGGACACCAAAACCTGCATATATATATATATATATATATATTTGTTAGTCTTTCTCACTCTATTTTAAAAAGGCCCCTAGGCTGTGAATGTCCTCAGTTTTCCCAGGGAGATATTTTTGTCATTTTGGACGTAAAATAGTCTAGTCTGTAATGCAGAAGGTTACACCCCAAGAGTGTCTCTCGTTGTTCCTCTCACATGTTTAGCAAACATAGATCCAAAACCGCCCCCTCAGTCTCTCAGTGCAGCCTCTTCCAGCCAGTGTGCATTGAGTTTTCCTTACAATTCTCTATATTCAAGACGATTGATTTCTGATGCCTCTGTGCATTTCCCCTCAGGATTGTTTGGCATAGAAGAATCCATTGGAACAATCATTGGCGTGGTGGCAGCTGGCATTGGAGGCATGTTAGTTCTAATAGTAGTTTTAACTCCTCAGCTGAGGAAGTGCCTTCCATGTGCTAAAGCAACGTCGAACCAAGGTATGGTGACAGCAAAATGCTCAGTTGTTTGCCAGAATTATAGATGCAATGCATATTTGTTGCCAAATGCTTTCAAAAAAACAAGCTTTATACTGAATAAGAACTTAAAGAGATCTAAGAGAGATCACCAGTATTGATATATCCAACGATACAAGCAAATCTCTGCACTTCATTTTCTAAAAGGCTGGCCAGCTGCAAAAGGGAGGGGGGCAGCTTTAAGCATGGTGTAGAAGAGGAAATTTCCTCAGATGGAGCTAGTCTCTCAATGGAGAGGCTGTGCAGCACAATTTCTCCCATTGTTATACCTTCAAGATAGCTGATGATAGATAGCTTCAAGGTTGCTATGCAAGGTAGCTGACCTTCCAGATTTTGCTGGACTTCAACCATTGGGAGCCCAACAACTTGTGGGCACCATATTGGCTACCTCTGGATGGAATAACTGCTTATAGGTGAAAGCTGAATGAGGAGCCTGATGGAATTGGTCTCTCAGCTGAGCCAGTGGTGGAGGCCTTCAGTCCTGTCCCTGCATTTACTATAGCCTCGTGGAATTGCTATTGGCAGGTAAAGGTAGCAGTGAGGCTGGGCTTTGAGAAGAGCTGATGGAGGAAACCTGCAGTAGCATCTCTCTGCTATTGTCTATGTGTAGACATACAGTACTATGCTTTCTTATTGAATAAACAGTTCACAATTGCTATCTGTATATATCTGTATGCTCAGCGATCTTCAAAGCATTTGGGGTTGTTTTGCCAAATTTTGTGTGTGTGTGTGTGTGTGTGTGCATACACACACATACACCACAAAAACAAAAAGCCCACTTAAAGAGGAAATAGTCTGAATGTTCTGTAAACAGGAACAGCAAGGTTCTTGAAGCAGATTGAACAAATACACAAGGAAGAAGCTGACTTGCACTGAGAAGATTAAGACAGCAGTCCTAAAAATACTTACTTGGAAGGTAGCTACAGTGAAACCAATAGGTGTTTGTAATCTGAGTGAAAGCTTTTGAGATTATAGTCCTTGAGATGGTGTTAGAGCTGGTAGCAGCACAAAGCCTGCAACAATGGCTCTGACTTCAAGGACTTATTGCATGATTCTCTGTCTAAGAAACCAAGTGTAGCACAAAACAGTCGGATTGAAAAGCTTGCCACATGTTTAAATTCATCTGGATGTTATTGAGTTGCTGCAGCTGTCTCCATTCTAATTCTTTTAGGACCAATAAAACAACCATAAAAGGTGCCTTCAAGGTGCAGAGCTGAACAAGGCCAATGTAAACACAAGAAACGATTCTACATTAACATGATTAACATGCATTTTGTGCCGCTCTTGTATGTTATATTTGTGGCAAGGGTTTGGCTAACCTACAGTGGAGCCAAAAAATCAGAAGTGCTTGCACAGCTCAAGCACATTACTACATTAACTTTGTGATCATACAGGGCTGCGTACACATTATACCTTTAAAGTACATTTGAAACACAGCTTCCTTGGCAGTGCCCAGAATTCTTTGATAGGAAAAATGTGCTTTGAGCGTGCTTCAAATGTATATTGTGAAAAAATGGGTTGTAAAATACTTAGTTGCATTATATTGTGTCATATCCTCTACTTCATTGTTTATTTACTTAATCTTTTTTTCTTCCTCCACAGCATAACTTGGACAGCATGGTTAAAGTAATTGCCAGATGTGCCACCGACTATATAGTTTTCTGAATGTAAGCAAAAATGTCAGTTGTTTCAGTGTTTTCTATAGCCTACCTAAAAATGGTATAATAAAAATGCTTTACCATCCTTTTAGAATATATGCCTCAAATTGTGACTACAGCTTAGTCATAAGATAAGCATCCTTTTCCAAAAAAAAACAAAACCCTTTTATAATAGCATCCTCACTACTAAATAAAATAAGAAAACTATATTAAAGCATAGAAAGGGGGTAGTTGCACTGAGCATTATATCTTCTCCAGACACAATAAGCCAGTGTGTGGCCAAGATGGCTGAACCTCCTGTTCTCTATCAGTAAAAAGCTCTCTGCTGTATTCAGGAATTTTATGGTGCCTTTCTGCACTTAGAGTATCTCTCTTACACTTCCTGTTCCATAGGACTGTCACTTTATAGGAACACAGCATCACCAACCACAAAGAACCTGTGGAGGTCCAGGATGGTTTGGGCACATGCACTGTAGTTATGCGGACTTACTGTATGCACCACTTCTTTAAAAGATCGTAGCATGGCATTTCAAAAATACTTTTGTAGGGCACGTTTTCCATGAGAAGATATAACAAGAAGCCTATGAATCTGTGCAACCAACAGGTGTAGAGGTCATAGTTTAATCTGTCATTTCCAGAAATCTGAAGATACATACACAATTCAGAAGCTGCTAGTCTAGTTGAATGATATACAAAATACAGAGAGCTTAAAGTGGAACGAAACTGAAGGTTTCCATTAAAAAGTAGTCTTAATGCCTACATTTCCCATAACTGCATACAGGGTAAATATGGCCGCACAGAAAATTTGGCCAGAAGGCATAGCGTCGGTTAAAAGGGGCAGATCTCCAACACTTGGCTGCTTCTCTGTCACATTGGCATATGATTTTTTGACATCTGTCTAACATTGTATCTGAAAAAGAGAAAAGCCAGGTGAATAGTTAAAATGGAATAACAGCACCAAACTGGAACAACTAGCCACAAATTGTTAATGTCTATTGGCATTTGTTATTCATTGCAGCTGCTTTGGGAATCGTGATAGACCAGGAAGGAAATATAACTATAAATCAAAATAAGTAAGTCATTCTTAAATTTTAGGCTCAGATTTCTGAAAGCAGTTACAATAACAGGTAGCAGATAGGGACAGTTTTCACAATGGACAGATGATTATTATTATTATTATTATTATTATTATTATTATTATTATTGATTAAATTCGTATACTGTCCATCCAAAGATCCCAGGGCAGTTCACAACAGAAAAATACAAAATGAGAACACAAAATAGACAATAAAACAAAAACAAACCAGTAACACGCCCACACACAATCACATTAAAAAAGCCATAGAATGTTAATCAAACTAAGGCCTGTTTATAGAGAAACGTTTTTGCCTGGTGCCTAAAGATATGTAATGAAGGCGCCAGGTAAGCCTCGCTGGGGAGAGCATTCCACAAACAGGGAGCCACCACAGAAAAGGCCCGTTCTTGTGTTGCCACGCTCCAGACTGCTTGTGTAGGAGGCACATGAAGAAGGTCCTCAGATGATGATTGAAGGATCTGGGTTGTTCATATGGGGAGAGGCATTTGGGGCTTTTTGGTCTAGAAAAGAGTAAGTGACATGATAATGGTGTACAAAATTATGCATGGGGTAGAATCCATGTATAGAGATAGGGTGTGGATAGAGATAAGTTTTTCTTCCTCTCACTTGCATTCAATGAACCTGAATGCTGAAAGATCCAGGACAGAAAAAGGAAGTACTTCTTCACACTGTGTGTAGTTAAACTATGGAATTGAAATCAGTGGATTTAAGTCTACTCTGAGTAGACCCTAACGCTAGATCATGCATTGCTTATCAAGAAAAAATGGATAAATACAATGAAATTAAAATTGTTACCTTACCACATACCACAGTATTGTCATTACATGTCCATTTATATCTACGTATTATGGGGTTACAGCCTTGTTCCTCTGCGAAGCCATAACAGCAGTCATGTTCATGGCAGCACCTTTAAGCAATAGAGATTGAATTGTACCCAATATATTTTGTGAGCGTTTCTTCTAGGCCCATCCAAGATTTAAAAAGAGGTATGTGCCAATACAGAAGTACCATATTTTTCGCTCTGTAAGACGCACCAGACCACAAGACGCACCTAGTTTTTGGAGGAGGAAAGCAAGAAAAAAAAATATTCTGAATCCCAAAAGCCAGAACAGCAAGAGGGATCGCTGCCCAGCGAAAGCAGTGATCCCTCTTGCTGTTCTGGTTTCTGGATTAGCTGCACAGCCTGCATTCGGCCCATAAGACGCACACACATTTCCCCTTACTTTTTAGAAGGGAAAAAGTGAGTCTTATAGAGCAAAAAATATGGTAAATTCTTCAACTAGACAGGCACTCTCCAATATTGTTTCAAGTACTTCTAGTGTTTCAGGGAAAGCCCATTAAGTTTTTACATTAAGTATATTTATCCCTCTGGAATCATTCATTTGGTAAACAAACAACAAGAACGCGGTGCATGCAAATATTACACCTACCACTTTTCTCAGTGAAGCAAGGGTTAAAAAAGAAATCAAATTTATCTCTAGTGAAAGTCCACTGGTTCCAAATCAAGTTAAAAGAGGACACACGACATTCCTTTTCTCTCATTGCATTCTCTCAACTTAGCAACATGGTAATGTCATCTGGCATAATAAAGGGCAGGTTTTGTTATGTGCTGATCATGTTACCTATTATTCTCACTACTCACTCACCAGCACTATGTGATTTTGTCGCTGGTTTGTGCTACCACAATTAGGGATGGGCAAATCTGTCAAATTTGGTTTCTCATTTTCAAATCTCAAGTTCTGTTCTGTTCTGCACATTTCCCCCAATTTTTGAAGTCCTCAAGAAAACTCATCATCATTTTAGTGCATTTCCCCCCTCTTAATGTACATGTTTCTATGTAAGTTTGCATAATATACACGTTTATGCAAAGCAATTTCCCCTAAAATAATGCATTTTTGTATGTTATTTTTCACTAACATATGCATTTTATGGATGCTTTACCCCAGTACATGATTTTTTTGCACACATTACTTGGCTGGAGAACAGCACTGCAAATTTCAGAGAAGTGAGAATTTTGAAGGATAGCTGTATTTTGGTTCTTGTATTGTTTTGGAATATGTGAATTTGGTAGGTTCACCTTTAAATGTGAACGGGATCAAATTTCTGCCCCATCCCTTGTCAGGATTCTCAGCCACAGTCAGAGGTAACTGGCCTCACACCAGGCATTCGGCTCGAGATCCTTGATGACCTTCCCGGCTGCGTCTCCCGGCAGGTTACAGGCAAGGTCACAAATCGGCGATCCCACTCAACGTGAGAGGGACACACCCTCCTCCCTCCTCCCTGCTTCTTCAGGGAGGAGAAAAGAGACAGACAGAAATCTATTTACATCTCTTTATTTCTGTCATTCCAGCAGTACAGAGAAACATGTCTGTACCCTCCAGTCTCCAGCAGAAGACCACACTGACTCCACCTCTGTACTTCCAGTACAGGTCAGATGACACTCTGAGCTAACATCCGGTGCTCAGTACACTGAATAGACTGCCCCCTTTTTCCAATAGTACAGTCCCAGACATCAACATTGTGTTTTGCATTCCAGACACCTGCAGCTTGCTTTTGCATTGCTGCTTTTTCCTGACATCCCTAACCATAATATAGTTCCCTACAGTTTCTCTTCCACAAATTAAACCTGCCATCATTTCAAGGGTATTAAATAAGGTTGGGTGAATTCAATTGAAGAATGACACTTGGGGATGTCATTGATGTCCTTACCAGTCTGTTTTGTCCTTAGGCCATCCTCTTCCTCCTGGGCCGCAGTAGCATCCATAACCTAAATATGCCAAAGGAAATCGTCTTGTGCCACACTTTATGGCTCCAGATAACTCAAGGAGGCCTCTTTTGTGTACAGAATGGTTCTTCCCAAGAACACTATTCCAAACTGCAAAGGCAGAAAAGTAAAATTTTAGTGCATCTGAGTTAAAAAACCATTACTCAAAATCCTAGTTTCCCATCTTTACACTTTCCCAGTTCTGAATTAATGTATGTATTATTGATAATATCTTTAAAATGCACTATTCCTCACAAAGAGTTATACAACTCTACACGCATCATTTCTGCAACCAAGGGTCTGCCTCGCATTCCCATTCGTTTCAGTTGAGAATGACATTCCAGGTTAGCTTTCCTCACTTAAATGTACAGGTGTCATCGTCCGTCCCCCGACTAATGCAGGGATTACGTTCTGGGCCCCTGCACACATAAGTGAACTTGTGTAAAGTGGGGAGTAACCCACTTTAATAGGGAGGGCATGCAGGGAGGAGAGAAAGAGAAAGAGACTCACAAGCACCGCTGGGGCTGCTGCTTGGAAGTTGCCTGGGGCCTCTGCCCGGCCTGCCCAAAGCCTCCCCTCGATTGGGGCCACTGCCCAGTGCAAGGGAAGGCTAATCTATTTATTTATTTATTTTGCAGCAACCTGCACAAATGTAGTCACACGTAAGTGGAATGCGGGTGCCTGTACTTACGGGACCGCCTCTCCCAGTATGCCCCGCAGAGCACCTTAAGATCCATAAATAGCAACACCCTAGAGGTCCCGAGCCCTAAGGAAGTCAGATTAGCCTCAACCAGAGCCAGGGCCTGTCTCGTGAAACCAGGGCCCTGCAGGATCTGATTTCTTTCTGCAGGGCCTGTACGACAGAGTTGTTCTGCCTGGCCTTTGGCATGGAATCAACTTGATCCCCTCCCCCCCCTTCCTTTCCTTTCTCCTTCTGTGATGGAACTCCTATTTGGGGACTTCCCTGGCTTTTTTCTGGCCCACGTAGGACCAGTCTGGATAGTTGGCCTTGGTGAAGATTTGGCGTTTTCATCCCCAAAAAGTTTTTGATTTGAGTTTCTACTGAAATGAGGCTGCATTTTAATGTTGTACTTAATCTTGTTTTTAAGTTGTATTTTAATCAATTGTTTTTATACCTGGTGTTAGCCGCCCTGAGCCCAGTCTTGGCTGGGGAAGGCGGGGTATAAATAAAATTTATTATTATTATTACATATGCACACACAGAATTCTGGATCAGATATGTCTAAACGTTATCAGGATCAGCATCATTTTTTTCCTACAGAACTTCTTTGACGTTATTTAGAGTTTTTCCTTTAATGTATGTATTTGTATTATATAAACACATTTGGTTCTTGCAAAATGGAAAATATGTTTCATCATAGCCAATTCTAAGGAAATTGCATAGGCTTTAAATGTTTAGACTCCAAAGGCACTTTGGTTAAAGCATTCTGCTGAATCCAAGACTTAAACAGGCTTCAGAAACACAAGTGTCTCTGCACTATAAACCTGAGGAAAGTGGCAGTGTACCTCATCGTCTACTTCAGGATGATTTAACAGGGACATTTAACAACTGCCAAGACAAAAAAACCCAAAAACCCTCAAACTGAAGACTACTGTTTTAATACAGACTGGCTGTTGTTTTTTGATACATTCCTTGGCTATCCGATCAAGTATGCATTCTGAAAAAATGTAGCATTCCTTCTCTACTTCACCGTATTCAAGTCTAATTTTAATAAACATGTAAGCAGCAGCTCTGTCTTAAGAAGGAAACACAAACAAACAGCAGCAATGTCTGTGCCATAACTGTGAGGTGATTCAGGTTTTAAAGGCACAGAGAGTCCACCCTAAACATATTAGTTACAAATAAAACATTGCAGTTAACAGAAGTCTGTTTAAAAAAAAACTTTTTTAAAAATGAGAAAAGCCTCCCAATCTGTATGTATAGAAGTAAGGAGTATATATGAATTCCTTGCTGAAAATTATTGTAATTTAAGAACAGCATAAACGTTCAAGGTGATTGACAAAGTATTAAAGTACACAAATTGCAAACTTCACTTCTCAGTATTGAAAGAGCTGACAGGAAGGGAAAGAGCATGCAACTTAATGCAATTCTCCCTCATTCCTGCTACAAAGTAGTTAAATTCCAAGCTGAGTATCCTTTTGAGGCTATGTCAATCAATAACTGAATTTGTTTACACAATTAAGATCAGCTCTTTACCTGATGAACTATTTCATTAAATTGTTCTTTCTGACTCGAATAGCCAAGACCATGTTGCTAAGAAAAGTTGAACAAGTTTTTAAATGCCCAGCAGGCCCAGTTTCCTCTAACTCTACCTGATAAATAGCAAAATAGTTACAAAAATGTGCCTGGCAGTTGGGGTGGGATCTTATGATCTCAGCTTTCCTGGCACCATGAAGTTTACACTGGCAGGCATTAAGCTGCAGTAATACAGGCACCCTCAAATAATTAAAAGGCCTTGCAATAACGGTCTCACATGCTTCGGTTCTGCTGTGTGCTGCTTCTGTAGTGGGGCCTTATAAAAAGAGCTTTATTTCCTTCCTCCCATCCACCCTGGACTTTAGATGAATAAAAACTAGCTATTCACATCTCGCTGTTTAAAGTACAGGGAAGAGGCAAACAGATAGTTACAGCATGAACAAAGACAATCATTCAGATATGAGAATGACACCTGGCAATATGCCAAAGCACCTCAGACCAAGCCATTCTATTGACCTAATTCCACTGAAGCATTTTTCAGTGTCTAATAACAGCCTGAACAGTGTCCTGGTGCAAATCCCACTGCACTGAAAGAAGTCCACCCATTTGAAGGGGTTTTATCATACTTTGTAAACTTTCGAACTTATGAACTTTCAGACTTGTAAACACAGTGGAACATGTTTCGCCTGCACTGTTTACATGCTCAAACAATGCGCAGTTATCATTAAAATCAGACACCGAAAGCCCAGTTCCAGGACGATGATGACAATATGAAAAAGATAAGCTTACTCACCTGCCCAAAAGCTGTTTGCTTTGGTCGATAAGAATGGTGTAAAGCCCAGTAATGAAACCTCTGCACTAAGGGGGGCACAAAAGCACAGGTGATTTTATGAGGTCAGCAGCTACATTGCTTGGCATCTATTTTGTACTTACCTGCTTGAAACAACAGCAGCGTCACCAGCCGGAGTTCCATTTGGAGGTCAACTCAGAATGACCCCCACCCTTTCACTCAGACACACATAGCCTGACTGTCTAGAGAGTCTCCCTGTAGTTCTGCTGTCAAACTGAGCCAAGGAGTGGGAGTGTATAAACACTCTGACAAGGCTGCTCCTCTACGGTCTACTCTCAGAGCTAAATATATGTGTGTGTGTGCATATATATAGTTAAAGGTGAGACACTTCCTTCTGCGTTTCAAGTGCCCACTGTCCAGAGACTGATGGAAGGCCCAATTCACTAAGAACCTTTACCTTACTAAGAACACATCTGGCAAACACAGCTCAGTGCCTCTGTTTGCATGTTGTTCCTTTTGGGAGGGGTTGTCGGGAGGGAATTATGTCTCTTGGACAGGTTTAGATGCTGCAGCCAATAAGCCGGGAGCTTCTTTCCTAAGCTGTTTGCTTACATCCTCAACTGACCCCTCCAAGTCGTTTCACTGCTGTGTTCGCTACAGTCCAACTTTTATAACTGGGTAGCATTTGAGTTTATAGGCACTGGCAGGAATCTTCTAATTAAAAAAAAACAACAACTGCAAATGCCAAGCTGAAACAATAAGCTTCTACCTACAATTTCCTGAGATTTCAACACACTAATTGATGTTATAGAAGTTGTTCAGGTAGGCTTGTAAATGTTAACTGTAATTTCTTTGGCTCCTCATCGCCTTAAGGGTGCATCGTAACTTTAAACCAGGGCCAGGGGAATGTGACCCTCCTGAGGGCCACAAGTTCCCCATCCCTGTTTTAAATTATTGATTTCATATCAATAATCACTACACTACTACGTCTGAGAATTAGACGTTGAGGATCATCAACAGAGAGTGATCCTTGCAAAATGGTTGCATGCCACCCCAATCTCTGAGCTCAGGGTTCGGCTTCCTTGGAATGAGGGACAACAGAAACTGGTGTCTTGATGATACTATGGTTTATTTACACGCATATGCTACCTGAGCCTACAGTGGAGGAGCTCACAGTATTAACAACCCAAGAGTATGGTTACCAGATTATTTTTAATGAATCCGGGGACACTTATTTTTTTAAAGCTGAGTAGCAACGGGGAGTCAGTAGTGGGGATGGTGAGGCAAAAGACCCTGGGCCCAAGCACACGTGCATATTGTACAAAGGTGCAAAGCCCTTCTGTTGCACCTTGTGAAACATGTGCAGAGTTTTTTAAAAGCTGGGCAACAGCGTGCCACCCGCCCATGACTCCCGAGCCTCCCCTGGTCTCCTGCCCCCTTCCCCCTTTGTTTTGACAGATCGGGAGAGGCTCGGGAGTCACAGGCGGGTGGCTGTTGCCCAGTTTTTTTAAAAAAAACTCTGCACATTTATGTTTCACAGGGTGCAAAAGAAGGGCTTTGCACCTTGCCTGGCAGAGAAATCACATGCCTTGCGCCCCTCCTGGGCAACGCCCAGGACTCCTGAGCCTCCCCCAGATCTGTACCGCCGGACATCCCTGGTTCCCCTTCAGCACTGGTGGCGGCAGTGAGCAGCTCCAGAAGCCAGCCAGAGCCAACTGCGCTACCAGGCTGGCTGAGGCTGCCACTGCCACGTTTCCCAGGGGCAGATTTGCAAATCTGGGGACATTCTGGGGACGGAATTAGTCCGGGGGCAGATTTGCAGAACTGGGGACATCTGGTAACCCTACCCAAGAGGGTCTTGCTTCCCCCAGCCACAGCCTTGGATTCCAGCAGAAATCAGGCATGGCTCTTTCTCTCAGCTGCCCAGCCTGCTTATTGCCTCTAGCTTCTAGTTCACAACATCAACCCCTGCTTTTGTCTTTCTTATTACAGTGGTACCTCAGGTTAAGTACTTAATTCGTTCCAGAGGTCCGTTCTTAACCTGAAACTGTTCTTAACCTGAAGCACCACTTTAGCTAATGGGGCCTCCTGCTGCTGCCGCGCCACCAGAGCACAATTTCTGTTCTCATCCTGAAGCAAAGTTCTTAACCTGAAGCACTATTTCTGGGTTAGCGGAATGTGTAACCTGAAGCGTATGTAACCTGAAGCGTATGTAACCCGAGGTACCACTGTACCAGACAGTGGAGGGAAGGAGGCACACACATTTGCTCTCAGGCAGAGAGCCACTTATTTTGTTACATTAAAGGCCCATAATTTTGGGGTCACTATCAAGAACCTGGCCTGGCTATTCCAGCAATTTGAACCCTAATGAATCCAGTACAACCCCAATGCCCCCTAACTCTCTCTCTCACACACCTGCACAGTCCTTAGGATAGTCATCAGAGGCTCTTATCTAGGTTCTCCCACTGAGGTTAAGCAGGAGATAATTTCTGTAGAACTTTTAGTGGATTCAGAACTGGGCATAAACTGTTTTCCTGTTTTATTTTTAGGCCTGTTCTTATACTGATTTTATACAAGACTGGTTTTAGTACTGTTTTGTTTAGAATTCCTTGCTTTCACATTTCTTCTGTGAAAACTGATTTAATTATTGGATAGCAGTGAAAAAGGCAGGTGAAAAAATTGGGTCAAAAAAGCATTTGTGTTTTAATTTTATGGACTGTTTCATGTTCTTCTTTTTTAGGTTTTTAATTCTCTTTATGAGTTTTATCTGCCTTTTATTGTATAATATAGTTGGGTTTTTTTTACATTTTCAGGGATTTTGCTAGTTGCTCAGAATCTTATTTTTCTCCTCCTTCTTTTAGAAAAGATGGAACAAAATTATTATAAATAACATTTCTGGGAACCAGTGCCAGCTCCCCTGTGGTAACCTGCTTTTTCCTCATTTCCATTCAGATGAGAGGCGGGGAAGATTATAGACGTGGTGACAGCTAGACAGTTGCTAACATTTTCCCATTATTTCTTCCAGGTTTTCCATCTTGATCTTTTGCTGTCCTTCCTCTTCCCCTCCCCCTCTTGTATCCCCTTTTGGGTTTCTCCCTTCTTACTCTCACTTTATGAATGGTGCATTGGTTAAATGAGCCCTGTTGAAGGGTCAGTGCCTGGAGCAAAAACAAAAATCCAGACTGGCCTCGCCTCTCTCAGAATAGCCCTACTGCATAATGAAAATAAAATCTGTCATCACAACCTTGTGCATTTCAGTTTCATCTCAGTTTTAGCTTCCTTTATTGCCCAGAATTCTTATGCTCAACTCATAGTCCCATAATCTGATATTAATTGTGAGAGAAGTGGGAAAATTAAGAGTTCAAATTACACATATTGTTGTTGGTGTTTAGTCGTTTAGTCGTGTCCGACCCAGTGCTTTATTTCTAGAGCAGTGGTTCCTAACCTTTTTTTTGCCATGCCCCACCTAAGGATCTCTAAAATCCTGATGTCCCCCGTCCCCTGTGACATATAATTCTTATCATCCAAAAAGTGAACTCCTATTCATGTAAAGGAAGCCTAAAAGGCCATTCACTGTTAATACCTCATTTTCAAATTGCCCCCCTTAAAAATCAAATTGCCCCACTGTGGGGCATGTGTCCCACGTTGGGAAGCACGTTTCTAGAGGAAAAAAGTGCCAGAATGCATCTCCTTCAGAAGATCCACCCTAGAGCCCAAAGAAGATCTCTTTGGGCTGGTTGAGGGGCAGTCTCCTCATTAGCCAGAGGCTTGTTGAAGCTGCTCAGCTGAGGCAAGGGGAGCCTTCCACGCAGCTTAACGAGTCCCCATCATTGGGGCTTGCTCAGCTGAGGCACAGAGAGGCCTCCATGCCTCAGCTGAGCAGCCTAACAGCCCCCCCCCCCATCTCACATGAACCAGAGCAGCATTGGGGCTTGCTTAGCTGAAGTGGTTTCCATGCCTCAGATGAACAACCTAACAAGCTTCCACCCATGCCTCTCTGACTCGTGTGAGCTGAGCAGCTGGGGGCTTGTTTAGAGGAGGCACAGCTTTCTGTGTGTCAGCTGAGAGGCTGAAGAGTCTCAGCAAAGCCCCACTGAGCCTCCAGCTTGTGAGGAGACCCTCTTGAGAGCCTGTAGAGAATGTTCCCTTCTGGCTCCCAGGAGGGTCTCCTCCAGGGCTGGAGGTGCTTTGCGGGGCTTTGCTGAGGCTGGTCAGGTCTCTCTCCCCACTTCTGGGGCCCAGTTGATAGGTGCCAGAACGCTGTTCCGGCAAGTTCTGGCTGGAGAAAACCCCTGCAAATACTACACAGCAGCAGGAGTGCCCACTGGTTCTCCTGCTACATTCCAATAAAAAGAAAAAGAGAATGTGTCCTACTTAACAAGGGTTTCCAGTGATTAACAAAGAAGTCACAACAAAACTCAGCTCATTTATTCATTGCAGGACTAAACTCAATTTATTTATCCATTATGCCTCTTAAGTCCAAAATCTCTTTTTTCATTAAGCTAGTTGGATAAACCATTTAGCTGTCTACTATAGCAAATAATCAATCACTATTCGCATCAGCCCCAGCAAGCATGGCCAATGGCCAGGGAGTTGTAATTTGGCAACATCTGGAGGCCCAACGGTTCACCGCACCTGCTATTGCCTTTTAGAGGTTTTATTTGCATATTGGGCACTAAAATGATTTTTAAAAATACAAGGGCACTTAAAACCAAAGGTCAATAGTGCCCAGCAGAATGTATGAGCATGAGGTTTCAACAATGAAACTGCAATCCCTCCCACCTCTTCCTCGATGTGCAAAGGACACAGTGCAATTGCCATTGCTTGCCCCTCTCTGCTCCCCAAGGCCTTGGCCTGCAAATTAACCTTGCTTGGATCTATCAATGCCTGAGAGAAGTAGGTGGGGTGGGGTATTGCACAGCTCCATTGAGTTATATGTCATAGAATCATAGAATCATAGAGTTGGAAGAGACCACAAGGGCCATCGAGTCCAACCCCCTGCCAAGCAGGAAACACCATCAGAGCACTCCTGACATATGGTTGTCAAGCCTCTGCTTAAAGACCTCCAAAGAAGGAGACTCCACCACACTCCTTGGCAGCAAATTCCACTGTCGAACAGCTCTTACTGTCAGGAAGTTCTTCCTAATGTTTAGGTGGAATCTTCTTTCTTGTAGTTTGGATCCATTGCTCTGTGTCCGCTTCTCTGGAGCAGCAGAAAACAACCTTTCTCCCTCCTCTATGTGACATCCTTTTATATATTTGAACATGGCTATCATATCACCCCTTAACCTCCTCTTCTCCAGGCTAAACATGCCCAGCTCCCTTAGCCGTTCCTCATAAGGCATCGTTTCCAGGCCTTTGACCATTTTGGTTGCCCTCCTCTGGACACGTTCCAGTTTGTCAGCGTCCTTCTTGAACTGTGGTGCCCAGAACTGGACACAGTACTCCAGGTGAGGTCTGACCAGAGCAGAATACAGTGGCACTATTACTTCCCTTGATCTAGATGCTATACTCCTATTGATGCAGCCCAGAATTGCATTGGCTTTTTTAGCTGCCGCGTCACACTGTTGGCTCATGTCAAGTTTGTGGTCAACCAAGACTCCTAGATCCTTTTCACATGTACTGCTCTCAAGCCAGGTGTCACCCATCTTGTATTTGTGCCTCTCATTTTTTTTGCCCAAGTGCAATACTTTACATTTCTCCCTGTTAAAGTTCATCTTGTTTGTTTTGGCCCAGTTCTCTAATCTGTCAAGGTCGTTTTGAAGCGTGATCCTGTCCTCTGGGGTGTTAGCCACCCCTCCCAGTTTGGTGTCATCTGCAAATTTGATCAGGATGCCCTTGAGTCCATCATCCAAGTCGTTGATAAAGATGTTGAATAAGACCGGGCCCAAGACAGAACCCTGTGGCACCCCACTAGTCACTCTTCTCCAGGATGAAGAGGAACCATTGATGAGCACCCTTTGGGTTCGGTCAGTCAGCCAGTTACAAATCCACTGAGTGGTAGCATAGTCAAGACCGCATTTTACCAGCTTCTTTACAAGAATATCATGGGGCACCTTGTCAAATGCCTTGCTGAAATCAAGGTAGGCTACATCCACTGCGTTCCCTTCATCTACCAGGGTTGTAATTCTGTCAAAAAACGAGATCAGGTTAGTCTGACATGACTTATTTTTCAGAAATCCATGCTGACTATTGGTGATCACAGCATTCCTTTCTAGGTGCTCACAGACTGTTTGCTTAATGATCTGCTCCAGAATCTTCCCTGGTATTGATGTCAGACTGACTGGGCGGTAATTATTTGGGTCCTCTCTTTTCCCCTTTTTGAAAATAGGTATAACATTTGCCCTCCTCCAGTCTGCCGGGACTTCGCCTGTTCTCCAGGAATTCTCAAAGATGACTGCCAGTGGTTCTGAGATCACATCTGCCAGTTCTTTTAATACTCTTGGATGCAGTTCATCTGGCCCTGGAGACTTGAATACATCTAAACTAGCCAAGTATTCTTGTACTATCTCCTTAGTTATTCTGGGATGTGTTTCCTCTGCTGAATCATTTGCTCCAAATTCTTCAGGTCGGGCATTGTTTTCTTTATCGGAGAAGACTGAGGCAAAGAAGGCATTGAGGAGTTCAGCCCTTTCTGTGTCCCCTGTTTGCATTTCACCATCTTCTCCTCTGAGTGACCCCACTGTTTCTTTGTTCTTCCTTTTGCTACGAACATACCCATAAAAGCCTTTTTTGTTGCTTTTAACCTCTCTAGCAAGCCTGAGTTCATTCTGTGCTTTAGCTTTTCTGACTTTGTGTCTACACGTGCTGGCTATTTGTTTGAATTCCTCTTTGGTGGTTTCCCCCCTTTTCCATTTTTTGTACATACACATCCTTTTTTAATCTTAACTCAGTTAAAAGTTCTTTAGATAGCCACCCTGGCTTCTTTAGGCACCTTCCATGTTTCCGTCTCATTGGTATTGCCTGAAGTTGTGCTTTTACTATCTCCCTCTTAACAAACTCCCAGCCATCATGAACTCCCTTTCCTTTTAGTATTACTGTCCATGGGATCTCACCCAGCACTTCCCTAAGTTTTATGAAGTCGGCTTTCTTAAAGTCAAGAAATTGAGTCCTAGTATGCTTGGCTGCTCCTTTCCGCTGTATAGTAAACTTCAGAAGAGCATGATCACTCGCGCCTAATGATCCTTCCACTTCTACCCCACTAACCAGGTCATCAACATTGGTTAGGACCAGATCTAAAATGGCTGTTCCTCTTGTTGCTTCTCCCACTTTCTGGACAATGAAGTTGTCTGCAAGTCCAGTGAGGAATCTGTTTGACCTTATGCTCTTGGCTGAGTTTGACATCCAACAAATATCCGGGTAATTGAAGTCCCCCATTACTACTATCTCCCTTCCTTTTGCATGCTTGGCCATCTGTTCCAGGAAGGCATCATCTATGTCCTCTGTTTGGCTTGGGGATCTATAGTAAACTCCCACAATGAGGTCACTGTTATTCTTCTCTCCCTTAATTTTGACCCAAATGCTCTCACTTTGGCTTTGAGGTTCTAAATCTTGGATCTCTTCACAGGTATACACATCCCTGACATATAACGCCACTCCTCCTCCTTTCCTGTCTGGTCTGTTTCTCTGAAATAGATTGTATCCCTCCATTATTACATTCCAATCGTGGGACTTATCCCACCAGGTTTCAGTGATGCCTATTATGTCATATTTAGTTTGCTGTACCAAGAGCTCAAGCTCATCTTGTTTATTTCCCATGCTTTGCGCATTAGTGTACAGACATTGAAGTCCATTAATCATTCCCCCGTGTCTCTTATTTAAGGATTTTTTCCTCCCACCACTAGGTCTGTGTGCTGTTTGCTCCATTTGGTCTATGACATTTGGATGATCATCTTCATCAATTGATAGACTCCTACCTTCAGGAGCACTGTCTCCCTCCCCCACATTAGTCAGTTTAAAGCCCTCCTGATGAGGTTTCTGAGATTTTTTGCAAAAACATTCCTCCCAACCTTTGTGAGGTGCAGTCCATCGCTTGCCAGAAGTCCATCTTCAAGAAACTGCAGTCCGTGATCTAAGAATCCAAACC